TAGCTTCTTTTGCTGGACAAAGATCTACTACTGTTGTAGCAAATGCCTGGATGACATTGTTTTATGACCCAAGTGGTTTCAACAGTAGACTTACAAGAGATAGAATGGCAATAGTCTTCTCTGAACTTAGTAACAAAAGTAGTCCACCAGCCTCACTACTTAGATCTGTGCTATCTTGGTGGATACTTTCCAAAGCCAGTAATAACGGTTGCAGTAATTTTAAGACAACAGCCAAGAATCGCTCTTGAGAAAGCCAGCAGGTTTTCCCAGGTTGGACTAATTTGAACTTCAATCCCAGTGTATCTTCTTTTTTTTTTGGAGACGTTAGGTCCTTTTGGACTCTTGCTGGAAAAAAGAGTATAAAAAAACCATTAAATTTATGGCTTTTTAATGTCTTCTGGAGATTCTGGAGCTCGTACTAGCGCTAGCTGGAGTAGATGGCCTCTGCAGTGTGTATAGGAGAGATTAGGGTTACACTTTTCTCTGAGCAAAGCTTGTACTCCACTATGTCTTCAAGAGAAGTTTGTAGCTCAATCAAATGTACAAGGAGCCATCTGTTTGGGGTTCAATTTACAAGCATTTAACTCTTCTAAGATGTCACAGATGCAGCCGATGTGTCTTCTATAACCTGAACATCTAGAATGCATCTGCTGGCCTACCGCGGACATCAAAATCACATACGCAATGATTTAATACTTGATGCTTATTTGCATTCATCAGCCATGTATGCACATATTTTGAATATGGTGAGAGAGTTCTTCATTTTTTCAACTGCTGAGTCTTTCATTGTTGCACCGCATGCTTCTAGAGAGTCAGCTGAATTTTTTCAGAAAGATAGTGAGCATTTGCCAGTCTTGTTTGAAACCAGTGTCCGACTTCAGGATTAACAAATGACAATGCACTTAACGTTGGCCTCCAGTTTGTAGTGTGTGGTATCTTTTGTTTAAATAGAAAGTATGGTGCAACAGCCGTGTTGGTTCACGTAAACTGAGTTGTGTTTCCAGCATTCTTAACAGCCTCATTAAGTTCTTCTAAAATTGGCTTTGACGGTGGCTGGCTTATAAGGCTTTCTGCATGTTGATGCAGTCCAGAGGCATGGTGTTCTGCAGCCTTTTCATGTAGGCTGTTAGTATTGGCTTAGCTGATCAGTCTGGCAAACCAAGCTCCTCCACTTTTACTATATAAATCTATGTTATGCCCACATCTTGAATTCTGCTTGCAGGTCTGGTCACCCCATCTCAAAAAAGATATATTGGAATTGGAAAAGGTACAGAGAAGGGCAACAAAAATTATTAGGGGTATGGAACAGATTCCATAAGAGGAGAGATTAAAAATACTAGTATCAGGGGATAGCCGTGTTAGTCTGTACCACAAAAACAACAAGGAGTCTGGTGGCACCTTAAAGACTAACAGATTTATTTGGGCATAAGCATAAAAAATAATCTGCCAACAGACTCCTTGTTGTTATTAAAAAGAACATGAATAGGAAAAAGACTGGGACTTTTCAGCTTGGAAAAGAGACAACTAAGAGGGGATATGATAGAGATTTATAAAATCTTGACTGGTGTGGAGAAAATGAATAAGGCAGTGTTATTTGCCCCTTCACTGAACACAAGAACTAGGGGTCACTGAATGAAATTAATCTGCAGCAAGTTTAAAACAAACAAAAGGAAGTATTTCTTCACACAATGCACAGTCAACCCGTGGAACTTTTTGCCAGGGATGTTGTGAAGGCCAAAATTGTAACAGGGTTCAAAAAAGAACTACGTAAGTTCATGGAGGTTAGGTCCATCAATGACTATGAGCCAGGATGGGCAGGGATGCAACACCAAGCTCTGAGTGTCCCTAGCCTCTGTTCGCCAGAAGCTGGAAGTAGAAGACGGGATGGATCACTCAATGATTCCCTGTTCTGTTCATTCCCTTTAAAGCACCTGGAAGACAGGATACTGAGATAGATGGACCATTGGTCTGACGCAATATAGCTGTTCTTACATAAAAAATAATTATAATAAAGTTTAGTACAGAAACTCCCCAAGATAATGACCTCTTGAGATAGCGATGATGAGAGATAATGACCTTGGCAAATAATGCATTTCAAAAATCTTGCCCTACTAGGAAACATATATTAATATAAGTTTCCCAGTCACAAATCTATTCTGGAGTGAAGTCACTAAAACATAGTTCAGTGCTCTGGCCGCCATTGTCTGTCGTGCCACCATTCACTCTACCACTCTGTCCCCAATGGCCCTGCACTGTCATCTTCTGCTGCTACCTGCCACTGTGACCTCTGTGAGTCGGTCTCTTGAGGGTCCACCCAGCTGTCAGTGGGGGAACCTCACTACTAGTGCAAGCTGGGCTGTCTCTTCCACAGAAACTCTGTCTCATAGCTGGTCTAAGCACTTAGACCTGATTATCAGTGATTTCAGCTCTACTGCTCACTCATGAAGACTAATCGTCTCTCTCTCTCTAAGCAGGAGAGAGGGGCAGGTCAAATAGTGCCTGTGACTTAGGCAGAACCCACACCACCAAACAAAACACCTGTGCCCCACCTTCTCGCTCGCTCTCTCTCTCTCTCTTCACTAGGATCTGGCATCCAAACCTCCTGCTTAGGGAGTGCAGTTCAGTTGAGGGTGACCAGTGCTTAATTTGTAATGAAAGAGGTGCCGGGGCTCAAGCAAATTTGTTACTTTCATAGCTGATGTGACAAGCCCAGAGGTCCCAAGGCGATGAACTGCCCAGTCTAGAGGTGCTGGAGCTCACTGTATATGCTTTTAAAGTGCGTACTAATATTTCAATTCAAATTTCCAACCAATGACTAAATTGGCAACACTGCATGTAACTGGGGGGGTGGGAGATTGGGGAAATTTTGCGGGGGGAGTGTCTAGGGAAATCCCTGGGTTGTCTACAGACAAATTTGCACCAATTCAGGTAACTTCCACCTCTCCCACCGCAGTGTAAATACTGGTATTTTGGTTTAAGGGTGGCTTATTTTGGTTTGAGTATACCTTATTTCAGCTTAATTAAAATCTGTTCCTAATTAACTTAACTAAACTGAAATAAGCCTCCATGAAAAACCTATTGCTCCAGTTTAACTAAATCAGTTTAAAATTGCACCTTAAGTTAAGCCAGTGCAACTTCGCAATTAGACAAGACCTAAGCATAAGAATAGATAGCTCCTGTATTGTATATTAACAAGCTACTTTATAAAATTCTGTATATTGCCCTTTTTTGACCTGATTCAAATCTCTCTCTGTCAGGGGGCCCAGCCAAGAATGGAGCAATAAGATTAGCAAGCAGTTTAGCAGCTTCCATTATGCAAGACTGACTTACTAAACGCTAGAGAGATCTGTACTTATGTCAAGAGAATTTATATTTTGATTGACATATGTTACACTGCACCAAATGTAGTCTGCTTAGAAGCAACTTATTAGTGCTCTGCAGTAGACTTTGTGGGAGTGCTGTCTGTTTCCATATTCTACTAATCAAAAGAAGTGGGGTGGTTTTTTTTCTCCAGTCTGTTTTACTGATGTTAGCTGATGACTTTACAAACCGAAAGTCGCACAGTGCCAGACCTTCAGCTGTTGTAAATTAGCATAGCTTCATAGACTTCAGTGGAGCAACATCAGTTCATGCTAGCCGAGGATCTGACCTCAAACCTATTTATGTATATCACTTTCATAAGACATGAAACTAAGATGTAGGGAATTGCAGACCTTGTAAGCAGGACAAGGTAGATAAATAATGGGTTCGTATTGCACTTCTGGCAAGGTAAATATGCAACAAAGTCATATCTGTAAGATGCATTTTTCAAGTTGTTATATAGACACGAACTGCTAAAATGTTACCTGTCGCAGACTAGTAAGGACTTTACCAGGAAGGTACTAAGGATTTAATTTTTATTTTTTCCTATTTATGCTCTCTTTCCCTACCTATTCCATTTTTGGCAAGCTGGCTCTATCGCACCCTACCTCTCAGCCAGGAACATAATTGAGGTGCTCATCCTATTGTCACCTGCATTCTGATATACTGGAAGAAATGAGGCCTGTGTTAGGTTTTGTGTTGTAAATCTTAATTTTCAGAAGGCTAGATCTCTGAAGTTTAGGCTTGTGTACTGTGTTCGTGTAATGAAATTAAACAGTGACCACGTAACGAGAGCTAGAATTTGAAAAGCTAAGACTTTTTTGCATTAGCTCTTTAGACCCTAGAAAGAACTCGTATTATGATTTGGTAATTAATCTGAATGTACTGTTGTCTAATCTCTTGGCATCTGGGATACTCCAAACTGACGTATGGAATGCTTTTTGATGCAGAAGACTTATTGAAAACATGAGTCATTTTGGGGGAAGCAATATTTAAAGATGAAAATAGCATCTGTATGTAAATGTGGATTTACAAGAAGGATTACTGTAAATGGAACTAAAATCATTTTTTTGGCATATCAGTTGTTTGTGTGCTTTCTATTTTATAAGTAAATATAAGTAAACATATGGGAAGTCAGCTCTGTTCTGTAGAAAGATGTTCCATAAGTGCCAACTATTGAAAGGAAAATCTTGAGGAATGGCTCCACAAAGCTTCAGATGATACCTCTGATATGTTATCAACCTGTGAAAAACAGTTGAGGTGTTAATTAAGAGTGGATCTCTGAATTTGTGGGTCTTTTAGCAGTTATCTGTAGTGATAAGATAAATGCAATCCTAAAGGTACAACTCCGTACACTTCTGTTGAAGCATTACTTGTTTAGAAACTGTCATATGACAAGCCCAACTTTCGGAAATGAGGATGTTACGTAAAGCAGCACTGGAGAGTTACTGTCTTGGCCTCTCTCGAACTGAGTGTGGTTAGGTTGAGAAAACCCTGTGCTACAAAAAAAATGCCTGACTGTAATCATGGAAAATATTAGCAATACTTTCTCTGCAGTGATGTGTCCTTTTGGGGATTGTTGTTTTTTTAAGTTATCTCCAAACTCAACGAGACTAAACTATCTATTTGTTTCACTGCAGGACCAGTTTGAGAATTTAGAAAAACACACGCAATGGGGAATTGATGTTCTGGAAAAATACATCAAGTTTGTAAAAGAGAGAACGGAGATTGAAATCAGCTATGCAAAACAACTTAGGTAAGTTGATCATCTTCATTTCAGAAGGACATGAGTAATGTGAGGGTGCAGTTAGCCATGCAATAATAAAGCGTTTTTGAATGGCAAGTATTAGCTTCTATGTGCATACAGTAGAACCCCAGCCTTACAAACGCCTTGGGAATAGGTTGTTCATAACTCTGAAATGTTCGTAACTCTGAACAAAATGTTATGGTTGTTCTTTCAAAAGTTTATAACTGAACGTTGACTTAATACAGCTTTGAAACTTTACTACGCAGAAGAAAAATGCTGCTTTTAACCATCTTAATTTAAATGAAACAGCACAGAAAGTTTCCTAATTTTGTCAAATCTTTTTTTAAACTTTAGTTTTTTACTAGTTTACATTTAACACAGTACTGTACCGTATTTGCTCTTTTTTTTGGTCTCCGCTGCTGCCTGATTGCATATGTCCAGTTCCAAATGATGTGTGTAGTTGAGCAGTCCATTCGTAACACTGAGGTTCTACTGTATCTAGTTTACTTTCCTCTTTCCTTAGATCTCCATTTGCTTGGCTTATAAAAATCCTGTTTAGCAGGCAGAATGGGTTGCTTAAACAGTAGAAAATAAAGTTCAAGTTAATTTCACACATTTGGAAACCGTTAGAGCAAATTCCTCCTCAAAGTAAATGTGTTATGTATGTAACAGAGTAGCCTCTCTAGTTTACTCATGGTTTGTGGACTGAGTGCAAGGCGGTTCATGGAACTTTATACATGATAGTAGAGAGAGGCTGAGGAAAGGGTGTACGGGGTGAGAGCTCAGCCTTGAGGCTGAATCAAGGCATTGATTTGAATTTAATTGCTTGAAAATCTCCTTAGCAGTCCACGTGAAGTTTAAGCCTAAAAGGGCAGCAAAATTGTGAATGCAGCTTGAATGGTGGAATTTCATGAGAACTTCCAGTTTATTGGTCAAAATCTCATGAGAACAGCCCTCCTAGGTGAATAAGTGGAAGTATCTGAACTGGAACCAGAAAATAAGATCCTACCTGTTTACAATCTGCAGTGAACCTAGAGATTTAGATCCAGACTCTTCCCTGTTCCCCAAAATTCAAAGGGATTCAAGTATGAGGTTCTGGCCTATCTCAAATACTAAGGCGTAATACCCATAAAAAGCTTGGGAGATTTGTGGTGTTTTTGCTAAATAGCTGTGCTTTAGAGAAAATGACCTTTCATATCTGTGTGACTTCCCATATACAAGGACCTTTAATTGTATAATGAGCTGGTGTCTGGATAAAGCCCATCATGTACTTACTGACTGCTGAAGAAGAATGTACTGTTTCCCCAAGGACAAAATGATTTAAATCAAAGCAATTTAAATAACCAGTTTTTAATTGTGTTGCATTTATATATTTCAATTATTTTCCTAAAGAAAGGCTGATTCTCATTGATTGGTAACCATTAAAACAGGTTGATTTGCAAATAAATGTAATCTTTACACTAAATTTGGTGTTTCTTTTTGCCAACCAGGAGGATACACTATGTCTATACACATTTATTTAAGCAGTTATATAGCTTAACTTACATTTATTTGATTTACGTTCTTACTTTTTTTATGTTAGAAAATGGTGAATGATGCATTGCTTATTTTCTAGATGATTAATGTTGTACCTATGATTTGTATCCAGTTGCATTTGAATGGAAATTCCAATGAATTAAAAATGCACAAAAGCACCATTTACAATTTTTTTTTATTATATTAAAACTACTTTAAATGTGCTGGATACATAAGAAAAAAATTTATCAAAAATGTTTTGCATTGAAAACTGAAAACTGACATTAAACAAAGGAAGTATTATCTATAGTTAGTGAATTGAACTTGTTGTTTTTAGTCACAATGTCCTTCAACATTTTAGAATTGATGGATCTCATCCTCTCACACTTAGCTTTTCTTCATAGATTGAAAGAGGAAAACAAGCTTCCCTGCTTTTTCAACTCTCAGAAGGTTTCATAACTTTGAATGAACTATTAATTGAACTGAACTAGTTGAATAAATTGAAGAAAATATTCACTCTGCACCTGCAGAAGAGGTTACTGCTGTCAAAGGCTGGTTTAACACTTCTGCAAACTCTGGTCCCAGATACTTAGCCAGTGACTTCCACAAGACTTCAGTGGTTTGATTTTCTTTAAAACTTTGCAGCAAATATGTACTGCTTAATGTTTTATGTTGTTGTTTTTTTATTTAATTTTAAAATTTTGATATAATAAGTTTAGGCCTTAACATGGGTTGTCATAACTTGAAATTTAGTTTTAAATAGTTTTTTTTTTAAATAAACCTGTATTTATATTTAAAACATAGTTTAAATTTTAAATAATGACACTGCTGAGAGTGCCAAATTCAGGAAAGACTGCCAAGAAATAGGGCAGACTCACCCCAAACTAGTGGTTATTCTATCATTAGAGTATTCCAAGCCAATAACAAAAGTGAACTTCTGTATCACCACGCTGGTTAACAAGAAGTCAAAAATGCAGTATCCTTAGGCATTCCATCCCTTGGCTCACCGCAGAGCCACTGGACTTGATGATGAGTGGTTTCTGAAAACCAGTTTAATCAGATACAGGGTCCTTCCAATCCCAAGGGATCAGTCTCTTAGCCAGGTGAATATATAACTCAGCTCTTACCCAATAATCATGCTGATGCCAATCCTTTAGTAACTAAAACTAACGGTTTAATAATATTTTAAAAAAGAAAGAAGAGGAATGGTTAAAGGATCATATATAACATACAAATGATTTTCATTGTTCTTAGATCAGGATCACAGCAGTAATGGAATAAACTGCTAACTTGCAAAAGTTTGTGGAATCACACAAACAGATTGGGGGTTATCAGTCCTTGTTCAAAGCTTCCTTGTTAGAAATTCAGTCCAGAGAAATGAAGCAGAAAATGAAGACAAAATGGAGATGTCTCAGGTGCCTTTTTATATCCTCTGCCATGTGCATGTAGGGTTGCCAACTTTCTAACTGCACAAAACCGAACACCCTAACCCTACCCTTTCTCCGAGACCAGGCCCGGCCCAGCCCCCGCTCACTGCGTTCCCCCTCCCTTGGTGGCTTGCGCTCCCCCACCCTCACTCACTTTCACTGGGCTCAGGCAGGGGTTTGGGGTGCAGGAGGGGGTGAGGGCTCTAACTGGGGATGCAGGCTCCAGGGTGGGGCCAGAAACGAGGGGTTCTGAATGTGGGAGGGGGCTCCAGGCTGGGGAAGGGAGTTGGGGTGCAGGAAAGGGAGAGGGCTCCAGCTCAGGGTGCAGGCTCTGGGGTGGGACCAGGGATGAGGGGTTTGGGGTGCAGGCTGGGGCCAAGGGATTCGGAATGTGGGAAGGGGCTGCTGGTCGAGGCAGGGGGTGAGGGCTCTGAGCTGGGGGTGTGGGCTCTGGGGTGGGGCTGGGGCTGGGGTTTGGAGTGCAGGGGGAGGCTCCAGGCTGGGGGTGAAGCCGAGGGGTTGAGGCAGGGGGTTGGAATGCAGAAGGGGGTACGGACTCTGGGTTGGGGCCAGGGATGAGGGGTTTGGGGTGCAGGAAGGGGCTCTGGGTTTGGGGGGGGCTCAGTGCTGGGGCAGGGGGTTGGGGTGTGGGCTCACCTCGGGCAGCTCCCGGGCAGCGGGCCTAACGCAGGCTCCCTGCCTGTCTTGGCACCGCGCTGCACCCCGGAAGCGACCAGCAGGTCCAGCTCCTAAGTGGAGGGACCAGGAGGCTCCACGCTCTGCTCTCACCCGCAGGCATCGCCCCCCAGGTCCCATTAGCCATCTTATTTAATCTTTTTATTGCTGACCTTGGCACAAAAAGCGGGAATGTGCTAATAAAGTTTGCAGATGACACAAAGCTGGGAGGTATGGCCAATACAGAGAAGGACCGGGATATCATACAGGAAGATCTGGATGACCTTGTAAACTGGAGTAATGGTAATAGGATGAAATTTAATAGTGAAAAGTGCAAGGTCATGCATTTAGGGATTAATAACAAGAATTTCTGTTATAAACTGGGGAAGCATCATTTGGAAGTAACAGAGGAGGAGCAGGACCTCGGACTATTGGTTGATCACAGGATCACGATGAGCCGCCAATGTGATATGGCCGTGAAAAAAGCTAATGCGGTCTTGGGATGCATCAGGCGAGGTATTTCCAGTAGAGATAAGGTGGTGTTAGTACCGTTATACAAGGCACTGGTGAGACCTCATCTGGAATATTGTGGGCAGGTCTGGTCTCCCATGTTTAAGAAGGATGAATTCAAACTGGAAAAGGTACAAAGAAGGGTTGCTAGGATGATCTGAGGAATGGAAAACCTGTCTTATGACAGGACACTCAAGGAGCTTGGCTTGTTTAGCCTAACCAAAAGAAGGCTGAGAGGAGATGTGATTGCTATCTATAAGTATATCAGAGGGATAAATACCATGGAGGGAGAATTATTATTTAAGCTCAGTACCAATGTGGACACAAGAACAAATGGATATAAACTGGGCATCAGGAAGTTTAGACTTGAAATTAGACGATGGTTTCTAACCCTCAGAGGAGTGAAGTTCTGGAACAGCCTTCCAAGGGAAGCAGTGGGGGCAAAAGACATATCTGACTTCAAGACTAAGCTCGATAAGTTTATGGAGGAGATGTTATGATGGGCTAGCCTAATTTTGGCAATTAATTGATCTTGAACTATTCATAGTAAATAGGCCCAATGGCCTGTGATGGGATGTTAGATGGGGTGGGATCTGAGTTACTACGGAGAATTCTTTCCTGGATGTGTGGCTGGTGAGTCTTGCCCACATGCTCAGGGTTTAGCTGATCACCATATTTGGGGTCAGGAAGGAATTATCCTCCAGGGCAGATTGGCAGAGGCCCTGAGGTTTTTTCACCTTCCTCTGCAGCATGGGGCACGGGTCACTTGCTGGAGGATTCTCTGCACCTTGAAGTCTTTAAACCACGATTTGAGGACTTCAATAGCTCAGACATAAGTTAGGGGCTTGTTACAGGAGTTGGTGGGTCCGATTCCTTGGCCTG